TCTTGTGCCCATATCACGACATGACTTTATCGACGGCTTGCTTGACCTATCCCTGTCTCAAGTCAACCATGTGAAAAATTCCTTGGGTCGTTTGCTTGATCTGTGCTTTGTCTCAGATTCGACGATAGCGTTGCTAACTCAAGCCCTTCCGCTCACTATACCTATACCGCTCACATTCGAAGTGTTGGTCGATATTGGACCTACTGTATTGGATCGAATAAGTAGGCTATCTGAACGTGTCCGCTGCTTTCGTAAAGCCGAGTTTAAGAAGCTTAATAACCTCATTAGGGATTTTGATTGGTCCGCTCTGTACTTGTGCACTGACGTTATGAAAGGCACAAACATTTTTTACAATGTACTTGACACATTTTTTTGATTCTTGTGTCCCACTTGTCCGGCTAGATCCAATCTAAAAAACTTAAAATCAAGACTTTATACAAAATTTCGAGAAGTTGGTTCTCTCTCTCGCTATGTAATAGCTCGGTCGAATTTCTCCGTTCTTAACGCTCAATGCTATAAAAATTACCTATCTCGATGCAGGATACGATTTTTACAGGACCCTAAACAATTTTACAGCTTCGTAAATATTAAGCGTATCATTCTCAATATGTCAGCAAACAATGATCAGGCAATTGCCGATCTTTTTGCCAAATTTGTCCCAACAACCTATTATCATGAAAGCTACTCTGGTCAGCCGTATACATACAGCTTACCAAGGTCGCACGGCATGTGCAGCCTCTTGTTAAATGAAAGCTCACTGCTTCATAATCTTCGACTAGTTAATCCGGTGTTTTCACCAGGTTCTGAGAAAGTTCCCGGCGTGTACTCAGGTACTGTGCCGACGCTCTGTGTGGACCCCTGCTAAACTATTCACCCTATCCATTAACTCTTCATGCTTTCCCCCATTCTGGAAGGAATATTTTATTATTCCTCTCCATAAGAAAGGTAGCAAGTCTGATGCAAATTAATATAGAGGTATATCTAAGTTATCAGCTATTCCCAAAATGTTTGAAACAAATTTTAAATCGGCCTTTGCAACATCTCTGCAAATCACTTATATCTCCATCCCAGCACGGATTTATAAGGCGACGATCAACAACCACAAACTTATTAGAACTTAACTCTTTTATCATTAAAGGCTTTCAAGGTAACTTGCAGACGGATTTTATTTACACTGATTTCAGTAAAGCATTCAATTCTGTAAACCATTCACTTCTAGCACAACAATTTGACCTTTAGGGTTTCCGCCTAATCGTTTCAGATGGATTTCTACCCTCGTTCTAGGTCTCAAAGAGTCCCCTTCAAAAACTCCTTCTCTTCACCTGTTAAGGTTACTTCTGGAGTACCACAGGGCAGCCATCTAGGACTCCTACTTTTCACACTCTTTATTAATGGCCTTCAGTATTAACAAAATCTCGAGTACTCATGTGTGAGGATGATGTTAAACTCTTTATAAGGACATTTCATTACACTTTCGCTTGCAATCCGATCTCAATAACTTTCAGTCATGGTGTTGTGCAAATATGTTACATCTAAATGCCTCGAAATGCAAAGTAATGAAATTTCATCGCTCCAGCCCCTTTTTGGCTCCTTACACCCTTTGCGGTGGTTCTCTTGAGAGAATTACCTTGGTTACCTCTTCCTGAATCACTAATACTATCATACCTTTCCCGTAATTAGTACTATTTCTTAGCTATCTTTGCATGTTTAGCTCTAATTTTCCTCGAATTTGAGTCTAACCCCTACATTTCCTGCATGGTCGCGATCGGTTCGGTAACACGTGTCATGCGGCAGCGCCCCTCGGTCGGTTGGATGGGAGGACGGTCTGCGTTTCTGCCTGGGCTCCGCGCGTAACAGGCTTCGGCTTGGTGTCGCATTGGCCACTTGATAGTGCAGTCATTGCATATCAACATCCAGACAATATCAATATAATATTGATATATCAATAAACAAGGACAGAAACTACGCAGTAAATTACTCTAGTCAAAACGAGTTTTCCTCAAGGAAAAAAACCAACTTTTTCTTAAAGATTTGGGGATTAGAAATGGTTTGATGATATTATTTTTTTTGAAGAATTTTTGAAATTTTTGAATTTTTTTAAAGCTTTTTTCATAGGTAGCGTTTTTTCCACATAACTCTAGTATCTTACGCCTGGTTGTAAAGAACTTCGCTACTTTGAAAAGATAATTAAAACAGCTAGAAGTAAAGCACAAACTTTTTGTGATTTCAGCTTACCGTCTGGAAAATATAAAGCATTGAAATGCAAAAATTAGGATTTTTGTGTGGTATTTTTACGAAATTTTACTTTAAAAACTTAGGAAAAGTCGAAAAAAAGTTATATCCTGTGTTCTCTATTTTGTTGTGTATAGGTGCATTAATTAGGCGTCGTTAAAGGTATTGCTCAAGAAAACGAAAAAGGGTTGTATATTTGGTACCTGATCGCGTTCCTTTGTTCCCAATTGGCAGTTGGGCCCGCAACCATCCAAGGTATTTTTTGTTAATTTTTTTTCATTTCTTATGTTTGGTTAACGAATTTTAGCTCCAAAGTTTCTCCATAGATTTTAATGAGCAATACCTTAAACGACGATGTTTGGTTACGCAGCCAAATAGTGGACAAATGCATAGATTATAGCCAGTGGTGCAGCAGTAGAGTAAATCCTTATTATTGTTCGTTGTTTGCACTGCCCACTGTACTAAATTGTCATCTACCTGCAAACTCATGCACGCATTCATGCTCCCGCACGGCAGCAGCCTATGCATCCGTTCTCTTTCGCCTCTTCATCTCGCGCCTTTCTTTCTTTCCTTTGCTATCACTCTCTCGATCTGTCGCTCTCTCGCTCGCATTAGGGCACGGGCAATTCGGCCCGCCTGCCCTTTGATTCAGTCTGGATCTAGCAAACACTGCCCATCGTCTTGGAATCGAGCTATTCAATCCGACACCGTCTTGTACCGACCCCGTCTTGGACCGACCCCGGCGTCTACAATCTGACCCCGTCTTGAATCCAGCTACCTCTCCAACCGACTCGTCATCAACCTAACTCGCCCCTTTCGCTATCCCTTTGACTCTGTATCGCCTTCTATACTGTTCAAAACAATAAACCATATTTAATTTGAACAACCATCGTCTCGTTAATAAACATATCGCAAAACTACGCTATTGAAAAAGCTCAGTAGCTCAGCGACTTTTCCTGAGTTTTTAAAGTCAAAATTTCGTAAAAAATTCCGCACAAAAATCCTAATTTTTGCATTTCAATGCTTTAAATTTTAAATCGCTGAGAGAGAGGCAATTGCAAAAAGTGAGCAATTCGATGATGCAATACAGTGTCATGTATTGTGTGTGCTAAGGGAAGCTGGCACAAGAAGTAGAAGCAAATACCATACAATACCAAGATGCTGCATGAGCGACCAAAAAGCTGTTATATGGCGAGGCTTACCGGGACGCCCCATGGACAGAGCGGGGTTTCAATTCTCTTTTCGGCTATGCTTCGTCTCTGACCGCGAGCCCGTTGTCCTTCACCTTCGTCTGTTCATATCATATCTCTGCTCATATCTCCTAAACTAAAATTATCTTGAAAATTAGATTCGCTAAAGCTCTGGAAAATTTTCTACTAGATGTGTACATTTATTTTATTCAAAGCGTTCATAAAATATTTTTTAATTTTGCCACCTCTTTTCGGCTGAGTCCCCACTGTAAATACACACAATACAAACAAATAACGACTTTAAATTTTAAAGTTTAAAACCAAAATCGACCTATTCAGGGCCAGATCAACCCTCAACCGGGCCCGGGCAACCATCAATCTGGGGCCCTCCATTTTTCCACTGCAGCTCCCTTCATTTTTCATTTCAAATAAAAACTAGAAAATTGTATGTTTGTTTGATTAATTTGTATGTTTATCAGTGGCTATTATATTTTTTATTCATTCACAAAACTCAAAATTGTTTTTTCAACAAATTTTTCTGTTAGCCCGAGGGGGGCCCTAGGCAACTGCTAATCCGGGCCTGGATTCCCGTCGTCAGACTTCATATTTTGTTGGTGTATTCTGTCGCTCGACTCGACGCGGGCCGAGGCATTTACGAAGCCGAAAGAAGGGGCAAAGGCTAGCCTAAAAGAGAATGGAACTAATACCCCGCGCACCCGCCCGTACCGTGAAGAGTCAAACGAAATTGAACGAGCATTTGCTCCTCGTGCATCTTTGTATTGTATAGTCTTTGGTAGAAGTCAGTTAGTTGGCTGACAGAATCGGTACGAGAAAAACACAACCGAGACTCACTGCTCTCTAGACCAAATTTCAAGAAAAAGAGCTTCCAAACCCGATGCCTCTCATAAATACATAGATAAAATTTCAAATAAAGAATTCGATTTAATATCAATATTTTTAATAAAGCGATAAAGCTCGCACAAAATCCTATTAATAATAAAATATCTGTCTTTAGTTGGGGTCCCATTTTTTTTTTTACACAGGTGCTCTTTCTAGCTTCGCTACTGGTCAAATGACCACTTTTTTTAATGTAAAATTACTGACGACTACAAAAGTTTTGAGTGGGAACGACGACAGACGGTCGAAGGATTGCTCTGCTTAAGCTTTCGATAGGCCCGTGGAATATTTGAAATTCATGAAAATTTTTTGCAGTCAATGTATTGCATAGATTATATTAATAAGGATAAATATGGGTTCCAGTTAATAGTAAATCGAGCCAAAAGCCAAACACTTAAATTGTATGCGTATACAGCAGGAAAAAGGGAACATTGTATCGGCAGCGCAGCAGCAGCGCCCTTTCCTAAGCACAGAGGGCAGTGCCGAGCCCTGGTATATAGGATAGGATTTAGTATAGGATATAGGATAAGATAGGATATAGGATATAGGATAAGATAGGATATAGGATAGGTTTGGCTCAAAGGTAAAACTTCCTTTTACATTATTGTCGGCGTACTTAAACTGAATTTTACATAAAAAAATGTTTACAAAAATCTATCTTTACAAAAAAACTTTTTTTAGATCGGAAGTATGACTGCTATAAAAACCCGCTCACCCGTAATAGCTGGAAATTTCGCAGTTTGGGGTGGTATGTTTAGTACTATTGATTGCACGCTCGTTCACTTTCGAAAAAAGGAAGACCCATGGAACTCAATAATAAGCGGAGCTGCAACTGGAGGAATATTAGCTGCAAGAAATGGTACGACTTTTCCTATATGTTCTCCTATAATAGAGTACACTGAAAATGACTGAAACAAAATTTTTTTTATGTGAAGTATTATTGCTGTGAATATGTGAAAGATATTATTTATGTCCTTGTGGGTATATTGAATTTGAAAAGATGCTAGCAACGCACAGATGTGACAGATCTTTTGGAAATGCCTTTTTATGATGCATACTGCTGTATAAATCCATACGATTTATCTTAAAAGAGTAAATAGTTTTTATTAAAATAATGATTGGGATATTTTCAGGTGTTCCTGCTATGGCCGGAAGTGCGATAATAGGCGGAGTTCTCTTGGCTCTAATAGAAGGCGTTGGAATATTATTCACGAGAATATCTGCTGATCAATTCCGAAATCCACCTCCACCAACGGAAGATCCAGCCGCTCTTGGCGACCCAGCAAGCAATTTCACGTTTGGGACCCCTACTAACCAAAAGCAATATCAATAAAATTTGTTTATTTCATAGCTCATAAATAAAATACACAAAATTCCATAAAATTTGCAATGCAGCGAATAAATGCTCTCGCACTTGGATAACATAACCATTTTTCAATGTCAAAACAAACCAGCAATGAAGTTAGCTTTGGCATACCGTCGGTCATAAGTCGTTAAAGTTCTGAATTCTGGTTGTAACCGATTCCTGTCTCGTCGTCGTTGTTAAAATCGGTATAAATGCAAAAAAGGTAATTGAAAAGCTTGAGCTAACTAAAATACTTTGTCCTTGCCATGTGCCCTAGAACTATGCTTTTCCTGAAACCATTGATTAAGTGAAGCAAATGCCGTAACGCTTTCTGGAGGTGAATTGGAATTAACCTGCCCTTTTACTGTCTCTAGCCTCTACGAGGGCACTAGAACTGCTGTTGTGACAGCTGCTGGCCATTGCTGAGGAATGAAGAGAAAGGACAGGTTCGCAGAACCACCGTAGCTCATATGACATCATGAGCACCATCTACTCCGTGGAATTGTCATCCCTGCATTTCACAACGCACAGTGGGACCTCAACCGAAAAGAGGTGGTAAAATTAATTTTCTGAGTGAGCGCTTTGGATAGTTTAAATCAGCGATGCCCAGGCCCATTGCCCACGGAGCCCATTTGTTTTTGTAATTGCCCTCAGCATAGGAAACCAATTCTTGTATGCATACACAGTTTGTGCTGCGTACCAGCATACCGAAAGCCCAACACATGCAAACATCTTTGTGTGTATGCGATCCGTCCAGCAAAAACCGGTTTTGTCTCTTCTCTGATCGGTGTTAACCCGACTTTTGTTATGATTTTGTTGTTGTCTTTTCTTCGAGTTTGCATTGTTCCCTTATTGGTATTTGTGTTTTTGTTTGGGAGTATTGGTGAGTGCCCAGCCGTAAGCTGACTTTGGGCATCGCTGGTTTAAATACACGCCTTCGCTCAATTTGTATGCACATACTTACTCTTTCAGGTAAAATAAAAAGTAAACTATTGCATACACACATGATCATAATAATAGGTACACACATCTAAGTAAACTTTATCATAGCAGGAATAGTTTTATTCGATACTTGAAATTTAATATTAGTTCCCAATTATGCTTTAAGTATTTTTTAAATTTAATATAAAGTTTTTAGAGTTTAGGATGCTATAAAATAAAAGAGATCCATTTGTACTGTCGATATCAGGCTGATCAAAATAATAGATACAAATTTGTTAAATGAATATCTAATATTTTTGTTTGCTTTATTAGTATTAACTAGTTACTATCCAGTGTATCCACCTCTATTTTTGGTCACCTTTATAATTCTATTTGGCATACATTTAAAAGGCGTCTGGCAGGTTTCTATAGATATCTCATACCACAATTTTTAGACGCCCTCCCTTAATTTTCGTTGTTTGAAAATGAAAAGCTAATTTCTTTTTTAAATCGTTAACTTTTTGAAATATCCAACGCAAGGGCATATTTTCTTCAGCATAAGGTAGCATAGCACTCTACAATATGAATTTGTATTCCTCAGCGTTCATTCTGTTCGTTGTCTGGAAAATTGGACCTACGACGTACAAGGAGAAGCAGCCCCATATAATTATATTGGCACCTCCATGTTTGACTTTTTTTTTTTGGTGAAACGTGGATCAAATTTCTTTCCTTTAGGGCGTTGTACATTCCTTTCACAATAATTCCCAAATAAATTTATTTTTGATTCGTCGCTCCACAAAATGGTTCTCCACTTTTTCCCTCCGTCGCATCCTGCCCAGTCTTGATGAATTTTAACAAAAGTTAGCCTCATGGCTATATTTTTTTTTGGCGCATAAGTGGAACCTTTATTGCTATTCTGCCTGGAAGGTTGACTTGTTGAAGCTGTCTACGGATCGTTGGAGAACTAACTTCTTGTCCGATTTCTGCTGCAATAGCCTTTGACGACTTGAATGGATCCTTTTTGCTCATAGATATACAGGGGTGCCACAGAAATCACTTCCGCTGGAAAATCACCTCAATTCCATTCCGCCGTGCCACACACAATCAAAATCGCTCACAATTTATCCAGCGATTTGATTAAATACACCCATAAAACACACCTAAAACGATTCGAATCTTATTTTTCCATAAAGGTTGTTCAATTGGTGGTTAACCCTCATCCAAATAATTAAACATTATACATGTTAAGTTAATAAAATAAGCATTTTTGTAAATCACTATTCAATCCGCTGACTGAATTTTCACTTAACGATTCAGTTCTCAATCCGCTGCAGACCGAGGTGGCCACCTAGGGCGATTCGGACTTTCGAAGTTAATACAGTAATGCCACCTTTTTATACCCGTACTCAAAAAAGAGTTAAGGGGTATATTAGATTTGTGGTAAAAGTGGATGTGTGTAACGCAGAGAAGGAAACGTTTCCGACCCCATAAAGTATATATATTCTTAATCAGCATCAATAGCCGAGTCGATATAGCCATGTCTGTCTGTCCGTCTGTCCGTCTGTCTGTCTGTCTGTCTGTCCGTCTTGTTGAGCGCCTAGATCTCAGAGACTATAAGAGATAGGGCAACCAAATTTGGTTTCCGCACTCATGTGATATCACACTGCTACAAGTGTATTTCAAAATTTCGCCCCGCCCCCTTCCGCCCACACAAAGGACGAAAATCTGTGGCAGGCACATTTTTAAAGATACGCTAAAATTAAAAACGCAATATCGTAGAGAATGACCATATCTACCAGACTGCCGATTTTGAATCAGATCGGATCATAATTATAGCCAGAATGAAGAAATTAATTTTCAGTCGCTTCCCCTGCCCACTCCTGACAACGACAACGCAAGTCATTTTCCTTCTCGCTCGCACACTCTGTCGCGTTCAGTGCGCGAGCAACCCCTAGCGGAGGAGATGTAGAATCTAAATGGTACATGTTTAATCTACTTGTTAGATGTAGAATATACATAATATATGTAGATGTAGACAACAGATGTAGCAAAAAAATGTAAAGTGTAAAATTTTTTTTTTTTAATTCTAAAAATTATATGCTCAAAAATATATATATTGACTGAGTACGGGTATAAGTAGAGTCGCGTCCCCAGAAGCGACTCGCACGTTCCTTCTCGTTTAAGTTGAATTCGGGGCAATATATTTAATATTAATTATATTGAAAGCATTCTGTTTTTCTTTAATTAAGCATAACAAAAAATAGCTCATTGTAGTAAAACTTCCTTTACGTCAAACGTGTGCATACTTTTTGTGCAAATTTTGAAAACATTTGTAGTTATTTGTAGTTCTACCAGGTGGCATCGCTTCAAAATGCCATTTCTACACATTATTGCCATTGCATTTCTGTCAAAAATCCCTGTTCGGCTAAGTGCAGACCCAGCACAAATAGAAGCATAGCGATCATTATAACAAAAACTGGTAATTGTAATGAACTAAATTAGCAGTAGTTTGAGAAGACAATCACAAAACCCACATACGTATCGTCTGAACGTGAAAACGAGTCCGATGTGCATCTGAGAAGCCTGCGCTGCAAGGTTTGTATTCTAATATGTTGCCTCCGTAGTTCTTCGATGGCCAACAGTCTCGGTAAAAGCATTTTAATTAAGTTTACCGTAAAATTCAGATGTTTTTTTGAACAGCTGATTGCTGCCATTCACGGAGAGTTGCCAGACAACTGCTAGAGTTGCCGAGTACATTGTTTTGTTTGACTCGCTCGATATGGGATGTTTTTTTGCTTTGAAATTATAAAAGTACAGCTTTGAAAAATTAATTATTTTGTATCATAAAAGGAAAAAAATTAAAAACCAATTGTTTTGATATGATAAAATCAAAAAAACTGTAAAATGAACCCTGTTCGAATTGAATCTTGAAAGGTCAATTTGGTTTGTGACAATGCTAAGAAGAATGAAATCGCTCGGTATTCTGTGGGTCGGCGGAAATTTTGAAGCGGAAATCCTATGCGCGGTTTCCCATTTCACTATTGATTTCTGTGGCACCCCTGATAATGTAGTGGTCAAGTGTTTTGCTTTTTTTCTGTGTTCTTCGGCGAGTTTCCTGACTAGGTTTCCTTTTTAACGTATTTTTAACAAAATTATGAGATCTTTTCATTAATTTGGCAATGGCCCGAAGAGATTTTTCCTCTTTTTTCAGACTAAGAGCCAATCGGGCTCTTAGTTTAGCCAATTCCTCCTCTGTACAATGAGAATTTCGATCCATTCTTGTAAGGAAAAAAAAATTATTTGTTTATGTTTTGACTTTAGCTAAATGAAATTTACCCTAAACGGCCAAAAAAGGAAGAATTTCTAAATTATTTACTATTATATTGATCAGCCAAAATGTATTGTCAACTCACATTTTCGAATAACGGACCCTTATTTCTTTTTTTTGTCAAGGAGTTTCGACATATTGACAAACAAAAATTACTAAAAAAAGTTATGTTTTCAACACATAAAGTACGGTTTCGTCATGTCATCGTCGTAGTAAATGTTTTATGTTTAGATTATCTTAAATTGCTTGAATTCTAGTGTAAGTAGGTTAGGGCAAGGCGGGAGCGCAACGCGAATTCGCCCCGCTTTGCCACCTAATTAATGCGTATATCTAAAACTAAAAATGCATGCCAAGAATTATTTTTTTTCGACTTTTCCCGAGTTTTTAAAGTAAAATTTTCAGGGAAAAATATTGCTAAAAAGTGATGAAATTTGAATTAGAAAGCTTAATATCTTCCAGGCATTAAGCTGCAGATACAAAGTGTCAGGGTCGGATTTTAAGCTGCATTTGTCAGCTTTTCAGAACTGCAAAGTTCTATGCAACCAGATATAAGATACTTAAGTTATGTGAAAAATAAAAGCACTACATCTGAAAAAAATCTTTAAAAAAATACCAGGTTTTAGAAAATTCTTAAAAAAAATAAACCATAAAAAACCATAATTCGTTAAAAAATTGTAAACCCCGAAATCTATAAGAAAAAGTCATTTTGGGCCACAGCCTAAATGTCGTGCTGACTTGTGTAATCAATAACTAGTTTATTCTATATTATAGAATACTCTTATTGTATTGTTGCCCGAGTCGTGTTTGGTTTGTGAAGAATGGTGATTTCT